GGCGTAGTTGCTTCATGCCCCGATGCATTCGAACACTTACGATGTCGCATGGCCTGCATCTGGATCCAAAAATAAATGGAAAAAGCTGACATTCAGCATGTCAGGGGATCCAAGGGGGTTTCTCCGAGGCTTGTTCCCTGCATCTGCTTAATTTCTTTGAAAACTGCCAGAAACTTTCTATTCCTCAACATTTTCGTTGTTTAATTTGGTTGCAAAAAGCTTTAGATTCCCCATGTGGCTTTGGCACCCTGGGGTATTTTCTTACATTTAAGTTTGATTTCGAAACTGCGAAAGGTTATTTGTTGAGGGGTATTCCTCAAACGAAACTTTCAAAGAATTTGCCACATTTGCCAAAATGCCAAGGAAGCGTTTAATGTAGCGAACAAATTACAAAATGCAATCCTGCCAAAATGAAAAAAAAGAGATGCTGGAAAAGACTAAGACAAAGGACCACACATGCGGCTGACAATAATGTTGACGACGTTTTCTGCTGTTGCACAAAACAATGGAGCAGCAGCCAGCAAACTGGAACGACAATCGCCAACGGGCCAACACACATGGACGCATCTCCGCCTCCAGCGTTTTCCACCATTTAGAAGGAGCAACACCTACCACAAAGGGGCGGCCTCAAAAAAAAGAAGAGAATTATAAAGAAAATGTTGGAAAAGACAAGGCAAAAACAAAAACCGGACGTGCCACGGTCACCATTTGTTGCGGCATTTTGACAATTTTGCCATTTAATGTGGCGCAAGCAGAGGCTCGTGGAGATGTGGATGTGGTGGGCAGGAAGATGCTAGCAGTTCGCCAAACTCGCGTATGTGGTGGATGTATAAGGGGATAGGGCAGACGTGGCGTATACTTAATACGCAGCTTTGGGACACAATGAGAAATGATCTGTTTGTAAGGATGGTCGAGGAAAAAATATGCTTCGTATTTATTATGAATACTCTATAGCTGCTTTACTTAGTTATATTCTAGAGCTCAAACAGACTGATAAAATAACTTACCTACAATTTTATAATTTTAGCTATCGAATAATGCTATAGAAATTTGTAAATTTTGAATTCACTCCTTTAGAAAATTCATATTAAAGGAATCAGATTAAAATGATATGAAAGATTATCAATTTATTAATCAGCTTAAATTAGTCATGTAAAAATATTATATAAAAATATAAACATTATCAAAAAGATGGAAGGAAATTTAATGTTTTACTATTACTATTACATGTCATTTATAATATAAGTTTCTATTTTTATTTACAAATTCTATGGGTGATGCCCAGTTCTTATAAGTGAACAATTGTGTAGCTTTAGAATCCGTCTTCTAATTTATACATTTGCGTAGTCCCAACTATTTTATTTGTTTAATGCCAACAATTTCCTCTTTGGAATACAAACAAAGCCCCCAAGGAACTCAGAAAATCTGCTAATCTTGACAAATTTTCAACTCAGTTTACCGAGAACTGATTTTCACTCAGCCCGATTCCCTTTTTGCATTTTCTATTACCACCCCGACTCACTCGACTTAAGTGCATTCTGCGTTGTACTTTGCACTAAGTCGCTAGTAACAAAACAAATTGTACTTACCCAGTTGTTTGCCGCCCTGCCACCCGCACCCACAAATGGCCCAGATTGCGTATACGCCACGTTGCACATTTCGGTGAGGAACCAGGGGACTGAATGTGAGGATGCCCTACAGCCAGCCATCTACTCGTACTGGCAAGACACAAAACTGTATTGATTTGTTGCTAATAGTTGATCTTGTTCACCATTCTTATTCTATTCCATTTGTACGATTTTTTCAATTTTTTGCGGATGGGATTTGATTTGATTTTTCAAGTACACACTCGCACAAAGTTGCCGACACACAAAAGCCACTCATCTGCGGATTGGATGGGGAAAATGTATTTGCGGTTGGAACTGAAAGAACTGCAAGGGAAGCACAATTTGGATGTTTATGCTGCTGCCGTTCGCTTATTTATCCAGGGAGCTTAGCTGTTGTCGGGAATTTTGTGTGTGTATTTTGATTTCATTTGCCATGCGCTACTCAAAATGCATTTCCTTTTGGCATGCAATTTGCCAAATGTCAAATAGGTTTTGGCCAATCTGAGCTGCATGGCTGCCAACACAATGGCCATGGTTGACATTTGACAGAGGATTTGGGATCCTGGTTCTGCCGCTTGCCCAAAAACATAAATTTTCCCAACTGTCCCGTGTGTGGGTACGATGTTAATTTGGTGTTGACATTTATGAGAAGCGACCCTTTAAAAGCTGCCCAGTTCTGTTCTGATTGATGAGTGTTCTTAGCACGTCGTCTCATTACCATTTGCAAAACACGACCAGCCTCCAGTTTGGGGCCGAAAAGTCAAAAGTCAAGAGCCCTTTGTTTCCCAGTGGCATTTACCAGCAGCCATACTGCTGTACCAACGGGGGCAGATGGTCAAATGGACAGATGCACATGCATAGATAACCCTTATTGCGGCACTGTGGGCGAGTGTTTGGGGTGAGATAATCGGCTTTTATTTGATCGCCTTACCATTAGTAGTTATGGGGAAATTAGTTTTAAAATAGGCCTGTTTAACCAATATTTTTGAATTTTCTTTAGTTATTTTTAAAGCAGTACAATATATTACAACAAAAGATTTATATTTCTTAATTTTTCATTACAAACTAAGTTTAACTTTTTTAATTTTTAATAATTTAAACAGCCTATCTGATCCAAAGTTAAAACGTCTTAATATGATTTAATACCTACATAGCACTAAAAATTCATAATAAAATGTATTTTTGGTCCCAGCTTGTTAAATTTTTATTGAGCAATACAAGTTATATTTTATTTTGAATGACTTTTTCAGCTTAGTTTGTAATACAAACTTTGTATTAGTCTTAGAAAAAAAGGGCACTCATATAAAGCATTGATGCTTTGATAACAAAATTTTAAAAACCATGAAAAACGTAGTACCATATGTTTTTAAATAACTATAACAATATTGAGAAATCATGCGACGCAATTTTGATTTTATGTAGCCAAGTTTAAGAAACCCACTAGATGCTTTATAACCACTGCGTTACTTTTTTATGCCCTTCAGACATCCAAAACAAAAAAAAAATCAAAATGTTCAAAATTTTCAAGGAAATCCAGTTCCCCGGGGATTCGCTTCTCTCATCACTGCCTAAGGGAAACCAGGATGTGCGCGAATGTTTGCAGCCAGCCAAAAAGGTGCACCACACAATGCCAATGCGTTTTGCGAACTACAGTGCGTATGCGTAATGTGAATGCGACTGTCGAGGGAGCCCTTTTGCCATCGTTTTGCCTGCCGCTTGTGTAATTGGGCGTGTAATTGTGTTTGCCTTTTCACATTTAGCCAGACCCGAAAAGGTCACTTTTGATGTGTGTGTCCTGTGGCGATGCTGCACTGCATGAGTAGGCCAACCGGGCTCACCCAATTAAAATGTCGCTCAAAACTTTTGGGCCAATGTCACTGTTGGGGGCAAAAAAAAACTGTTAATTGAGTTTCTGCCGCTGCAGCTGCCATTGCCGCCAACGCGAAATGAATTATGAGCAACTTATAATGAAGACGGCTCAACTTGAGCGCAGCAGCAAGTTTGACAACTCGACAATGTGCCAAAGTCCATAATGACTGGCTGTCCTTGGGGCTTTCAAGGCCAAGCCTCGGCATTCGCAGCCATTTAAGTGATTGACTTGGCCCAGAGCACGGCCCTTATTTATTTTTGAGTGTCTGGCCCACTCTCGCCTAGTTGCCCCCAGATGTCGGGGCTCGATAAGCCCCGGCGTGGCATGCCACACACCTGTCGGGATATGTCAGGATATGTGGGGATATGTGAGGATATGTCAGGATATGTTCCATGCGTGACAGCTCAAGGTGCGGCTTAGGGCGAAATATTGGGTCCTCTCATCGAATATTCATGGCGAGCCCCGCTTTTAATGGATGAAAAACCGTTTAATTTCCACAAGTTATTTATTTTCCTGCTTAACCCATCCAACCCATTTATTAACGATTTATAAGTTTAAATTGACATTTTATGAAATTGAAACTGATAAGTAACCAATGGGTTACCTTAAATTTCCGGTATTACCAGATTTGATACAATTTTTTCATGAAGTTTATCCTTCAGTTAATCAGTGTTTTATACAAACATATTGTCGCCTGTTTAATAAATGATTTCATGTATGATGCAGAAGACAACTTGTTTGTTTGAATTATTTAAAAAGAAAACTTTTTATTTAAAATTTGAAAAGCCTGAAGTTATGCCACTAAGATAGAACTAAGTTTTGTGTGACTCCCAAATTATTTTGTCTTCGCTGACTCATAGAAACTGCCTTTATGGACGTGCAAACACTTGAAAGTTACCGCTCAAAGTTGTCAGAGCGGAACACAAAAAAAATATATAAACAGTTCTTATCGACGGCTGCAAATACACCAACGAACATGAGCGAGCCATTAAAATTATGACATTTGGGCATAAATAAATTCCGCAAGAAAGCCAAACTAAGGTATTATAAAACCTTATCGTGGAAGTGAATGTCTTGGAAACTAAGATGAATGTCGAATTAAATGTATTTAAATGATTCATGCTATAGCCGACTGATAGGGATGGAATATTAATGTTTATAAATAAGTTTCGGTTCAGTAAAATGTACTTAACAGTACAAAATGCGGATATACTATTAACCATTTAATATTTCAATTATAAGAAACGGAAAACAACCTGTGTTTATTGACCAACTGATTTTACAATGGTCTTGAACTTTGAGGCCCATCATTAAGATATCATCAAGGGTAAAAATCGTCGAGTGATTGCCTCTTGCCATCTCTAATTTGATAAAGGCGCCTCACATGGCTGCCATGTCAACGGGGCTCTCAGCGGCGATAGAGGCCGTGATAAGAAAATAGTCTGCGGCTCGAACCAATTGGCCAGATAAGGCAGTTGGCTGAAAGGGTGCCCAAAACAGCTGTGATTTAGTCACCGCCGGAGCTTCGCCGTGTTCACATATCCGCGTCGCATTTCCCGCCTTTCGTCGCGAAACCCAAACAATCATAAACCCAAATAATCATAAATAATAAATGCCAAAAAGCGGCCAGGTGAAGTGTACTCGATATGTTAAGCCATCTGCCGGTAGTGTGGCTTTTTCTTGGCCTGTCGATGGTGCAGCACGATGGTGCCGCGGGTCAGATTATCCCACTGCCCACTTTTTGTTTGGGCCATAGCCCGCAGTGCAACTGTGCCGCCGAGGCGAACGTGGTGCGGTTCCACTGTCCGGATGAGTACGCCATGCTCCTGGAGGTCTCCGAGCCGGGGGCTTCGCTGTACATGAGCTACTATGCCACGACCGAGACTTTGCATTGGCTGCCGCGCTTCAATATCAGCGATCTGGTGAAGATCGAGTTCGATGCCTACACCTTCTGGCCGGAGTCATTCCTGGGCGATCTGCTCAAGACCATAGGGGTGCAGAAGGTGAAGGCCATTCTCTTCCGGGATCGCACCATGGAAACAGTGGCCACCCGGGATGTGTCCAACACGGCGGATGGATATATGGAATCCACGCAGCCGGGCAACATCACAGCCTGGCACTTTGGCCCCGTGCCTGGCCTGAAGAAGTTCAAGTTCTACAGCAATGTGAAGGAGCTGCAGGAGACGATATTCCACGGATTTGATAGCGTTACGGATCTGCTGCTTAACGTGAATGTGACCACGCTGCCGGCCAATATGCTGTCCACGGTTAACGGAACCCTGAAAACCCTGACCATCGAGAGTCCGGGCATGGTCTCCTTTGGGAGTCCCCTGCTCCGTGAGCTCCAGCAATTGTGCAACTTGAGTCTTGTCCTGTTGGATCCGTTCCGCGTTCGCGACAAGGAGTTGCAACCGCATTTCTTTGGATCCATGGTTAACCTCGTTGAGGTGCGATTGGCATCGTATACGAGCAATGTAAACAAGAGCATGTTCAAGGGCTCCAGCAAGTTGCATATGATCAAGATGAACGGGAACGATGATCTCACGGAGCTTCCTGGCGAGATATTTCTGGATCAGGTCAAGCTGCGGACCCTCGATCTCTCCTGTAATGCGATCAGCACTTTGCATGACGACGTCTTCAAAGGCCTGGGCAACCTAACCCGTTTGGATCTATCCAAAAATAGACTGACTGATTTATCCAGGTGGGTTATGACCGGGGGAGGGGGTTCTGTTGTTGTTTTCGCCACTTGCTTGCGCTGATTAATAGATGGCCCACCTAGCGATAGGGCCCGGTCTCGAGAACCTCTACCCAAAGTAATTAATCGATTTCTATTGAACTGAGCTGTTTTCTCCGCCTTATCGCTGTGCTTGCGGCTGCTGCTTTTCCTTATCAGTTTTTTGGCTCGGGCGATAGCTCAACGATCGTTTTGTGTCTCCCCTGACACACTAGTGGGGTTATCGGGTCCTATCACTCAGATACTAATTGCAGAGTTATTATTGTAATCATTTTGGCGCCAAAAAGTATGCCTAACACTATTAATTGAGGGATTATAATCTGATAGGGTTATTTTTAGTATTTCTCATTAAAATGGTGCGCCTAAATATACTATACTATATTGTATCCATATTATCGAAATGCCCTATTCCCTTGATTATTATTTCACTATTTTTTCCTGACTTTTTGCAATCTCATTGCCTTTCGATAAGATGTGGTAGAAGAAAAATTAATTAGATATTTTTGTGGTTGGCAGATTGTAAATATTAATTATAAGCCTTAGAAATTTTGATATAGCAAAACAAAAAAATGTGTAGAAAACACTATGACTATATTGTATTAAACAAATTTAATATTAGACATTCGTTTACATTTTTTAACTTCACATGTTTTTTTTTGTAGATCTAATTTATAGTTCCAAGACACATGTTTGTTCATCTGATAAGTGTAAATACAATAAAATTAAAAAGCGCTGTGTTGTATACTCTTAAAACATTACAAACAGGATAATCTTAGTTAAAATTTCTAATTTTCGTTAAACTTTTACTCATATTTCCTTTATATTGGACATATAATATAAATATTTATAAACGCTGTAAGATTAGGCAATTAAAAGTTTTATATAAAGAAATCTTAGAGTATTTTCATATAATCCCTGCATTAGAAAACTAGCTCTGAAGTGGTAGACTCCCTGCTCAATTTCAATCTAATCCTTTTGAGATCTCCTCCATCCTGCAGCGCCATTTTCGCCCCGCTGTCCTCGCTGACTTTCCTGCGTCTCAACAAGAACTCCCTGACCGCGATGTCGCCCTGTGTGTTCCAGGATGTGGTCAGCTTGAACTTCATTGAGATGGTGCACACCCAGTTCTACGGGGCCACTCTCCAGATGGGCTACGAGGCGGTGGTTTGCACCAACGACGACACCTGTCAGTACAAATCTGCGGATTGGCAGTGCGACTATCGCTGCATCTGCTGGGTTCAGCGGGAGATAAATTGCCTGATCGTGGATTGCCGTGGAACCAATCTGGAGGAACTGCCAGACCTGCCACACACCACACTGGTGAGCACGGTCCTCAAGGTGGGCAACAATAGCCTCACCCAACTGCCCACCGCCGACGATCACAGGGGTTATGCCAATGTGAGTGGGCTCTTCCTAGCGGATAACAACCTGACCACCCTGGGATCGGGGGACACGCTGCCCCAGAATCTGACCCACCTGGATGTAAGGAGCAATCAGATTCAGTCCATAAGCGAGGAGTTCGTGGAGTTCCTGCAGCAGGCCAACAACACAATGACCCTTTCGCTCTCGGGCAACCCCATATCCTGTGATTGTGATGCACTGGCGCTGCTTTTTTTCGTTCGTATCAATCCCCAGCGTGTCCAGGATATCGGGGAGGTGATGTGCACCAAGCAGAAGTCCCTCCAGCAGATGGAGGCCTTTGAGCTGTGTCCCTCCTATGTTCTGCTCATCAGCTGCGTGATTGGCGGCCTGGTGATCATCATCTGTCTGATCACCGTCTTCTACCTGATGTTCCAGCAGGAGCTGAAGATCTGGCTGTACAACAATAACCTGTGCCTGTGGTGGGTCTCCGAGGAGGAGTTGGACAAGGACAAGACCTACGACGCCTTCATCTCGTACTCGCACAAGGACGAGGAGCTGATCAGCAAGCTGTTGCCAAAGCTGGAGAGTGGTCCGCATCCATTCCGGATATGTTTGCACGATCGCGACTGGCTAGTGGGGGATTGTATTCCGGAGCAGATCGTCCGCACTGTGGATGACTCGAAAAGAGTGATCATTGTGCTGTCGCAGCACTTTATCGATTCGGTGTGGGCCCGCATGGAGTTCCGGATCGCCTACCAGGCCACTTTGCAGGACAAGCGCAAGCGGATCATCATCATTCTCTACCGGGAACTGGAGAACATGAATGGCATCGATAGCGAATTGCGGGCCTACCTCAAGCTGAACACCTACCTCAAGTGGGGTGATCCGCTCTTCTGGAGCAAGTTGTGCTATGCCATGCCACACAATCGGAGGGTTCTGAAAGGCCAGAAGAAGCATGCGGGTCCCCTCATCTGAGGTTTCCTTATAATATAGATTCTAGAATATACTTGCTTGGGCCTTAAAAATAAACTTCAAAAAAACTGAAGCTAAATACGTTACAAAAAAATTCGATACTTGTTCATTTAGGTTCTAAACTTATTTATAAAGATATACGTAATATATATGATATTTGCTTAGTTTAAGTAATTTATTCCTATTCTTAGTTCACATTCGGATGATTTAAAGATTTTAATCCGAATTTTTCAGAGATGTTATTTTCAGAAAATAATTTTACAAGTAATATTTACAGTAGGAATAAACCCAGTATTAAAAATAAAACAAAATATTTAAAATACAAATATACACCTTGATCAGCTTTTTAAATTTATTTACTTTACAATTTATGGGTTAAACGATAAATTGTTTAATTTGATAAATTCCATTTGGCATTCATCCTTGTCAGATTTCAAAAGCTTTTATTTGTATATCTATTAAATTGAAATGGTAATTAACACACCCGTTATCATCAATATCAGAAACATTTTAGCAAAGATACAAGCGTTTGATTGCCATAAATCAATTACCTTAATTGAACTGATTGCTATTGATACAAGTTGCTTCGAATGATTTTGTGACACCTATTATAGTAAACAGCAATTAATTTTCATTATATCATTGACAAGAAAAGTTTAACATTAGTACATACATTTTCATTAAAAGGAAATTTGCATCACAATTATTCAGGTTGAGTATTAAATTAAATTTTCCACATTCCTTATAATTTATGAGTCCCCACAAAGAACTGAAAAGAATGTCAAATTAATCACTTTTAAAGAAGCTTTTTATTCTCCTAAATTTTTAATTTTCCAGAGGGACCAACAAAGTGGACACTGTTTAAGCCCTGTCCAAATATCCCAGCTGGCTTAGGCTTTTGACGAGCTGGTCCTTGGGTGTCCTTTCCTTTGTTACCCTCAATGTTTTGTGCCTGGATTGTGTCATATTTCGCATAAGATTTTAATTAAATTTCATATTTCGAAACACACAATTTCCTGCCATCTGGGAGGGTGATGAAAATGCCATTTAGACTTTAATTGTTTTTAAGCACCGGATGTGTGCTTAAGTGAAAATTAATTGCTGCTCTTTCGCATGACTAAAAATTAATTTTCGCAATGCTCGGGAAGTTGTTATTCTGCATTAATGTTGGCAAACATCACCACATAATAAGTATTGACAGACGAGGGCAATAATATTTGCAATATAAATGGACCGTTCAATAAACTTGCTTAAATATTTATTCAGTCACATGTTTGTACCAGCCCTCATCGCCTCTTTATTGACCGCTTCAAACTCTAATTATCCACTTCAGTAATTGCGCTGGCCTTCATTGTTCGGTTGAGTTTAAGGACTGGAACCCACACCCCGAGTATGTATCAGTCTAGGCCCAAAGTGGCGGGCCAGGCCAAATTTCAGCCAGAAATAAGTGAAAATATATGTAATAATAAAAAGGGCAGAGAAAAGCATTTGGCCAAGTTTCGCTCTTTACACTCTCAGCCCTTTTTTTTCGCCCCTACGATTGCGTGGCCTTTGGACCACCCACCACAGACCACCCACAAACCACCCACAGACCACCCTTAATGTGGGTGGTGGGTTACGATGGCCTAGGGTCTTTTGCGGGCCGTCTTTGAAGATTCATTGCCTGCCCGCTGGCCAACACTTTGTGGGCGAGGCGCCTAAAAGAGTGGGGGTCAAATGGCAAAGGGCATGGAAGGAAGGCCAGTTAGCGGCAATTCCTTAAACATTTTAGTCGCCAAACTAAAAATAATAAATGTATTCTAGGATAACCTTGCAAAAGGGTATTATAAATTCGGTAAGAAGTTTAAGACGCAGTGTGGGGAAGACTTGGATTCCGTAAAGTTTTTATCACGATCTCTATTATTAATAAATATACCTTTAAAAATGCTTAAGTATATGTATCTTTTGGATGCTTTAACTATTTGAAAGAAGGCTTGTGAATATAATTGTCGTTGATAGATTGGGTGTTGCAAGATTATATTTGTGTTTGCTGATTTTACCTAAACATTTTTTTTAGGTGTTAAAAAACCTTTTTTTTATTCATTCTGCTCCATTTTTGAATGAGTACTACTTAAAAGTCTTCTTAGAAACCTTAACAAAATCTGTACTTTAAAAAAGCCAGTCCCATTCAGCTACTGCTAGCTTTGATAAGTTACTTTATTGCAGTCAACTGAATGGTAGAAATTCAATCCTTTAGCAATTTTACCATGTAATTCGTTTTGTGTGCGGTATCCAGTTCGATTTCAATTGGAACCATTTTCAGTTTTCTCACTCCCAGCCAGTGTTGAATTATATTTCGCTTTGCTTCTGTGTCCCTTTAGAAGTTTTGTAAGTAATGACATTTGATTGCTGCCCCAACACTTTGCAGCTGCCATCGAATAATCATCTGGGCTCATTTTTCATAAACTTACAGTCAGAGCTGAAGTCCAAATGCGATGGTCGGGGTGTGAGTAGTTATCACAAACATCTGTTTGCCAGTGCTTTTCATTTATCATAACTTTTGCGAAGGGAACTGTAATATAACCGGCTTGTAGCCGCTGAAAGTTCCTGATGCAGCCCTTCCCCAAGACTTTCGGCTACGTGATCCAAAGACCAATAGTTTTGCCACCTCCTATCCTCACTGACTGAAATTCAAACGAGGATTCCCTGGCGTTGAACTACTTAGTGGCTATAAAGTAAGGATGTGTGGCTCACAAGGGGTTAAGCCAGTCTGGTGTGGATGCCATCAATGGATTTCTGGCCTGGCGCCACCAGCAATTCGATTCGAAAGCGGATGCAAAATGCAAATTGTTGCTGGCTGTGAGTCAGCTTTCGAAGGCTCCATTGACGATGTCTCCAGCCATTTGAGCACACAAATCATTGCAAGTGCATATAGCGTATATATAGCTCGTATAGTGTTTGCTGATACTTGGCCACATTCATAAACGTAATATATGGCTTTTATTACATTGCATTTTATTGCTTTTCATTGCCGGCTTTCTTGCCCTTTCTGGTATACATTATGAAGCTTGCACATCAATAGAAACAGACTATGATATTATTTACAACTCAAATTAAAACAAGAAACTTTAATTACGATTCATAAATTGACGTGCTGTATTTCAAAGTATTTTTTGATAAGCATTCAAGTGCTCCTCTGATTGAATCCCATTAACTCCAAGGGCTCACCAATTGAGCTTTCTTGTTGGAAATGTAATCAGGGTGTCCAATCAACTGCTTTTGGGAACTGACCTACAATACATGAAACGTAATGGAAGTATTCAATCGAGCAATTTGTATTGCAAAGTATATGTAAACTGCAGAATTGGTAATAAATTTTAACCGAGAAGTACGTGGTTCGCTATTATTACCCTATAATGAGCTTCTAAATGTACTTAAAATATGGGCTTTTTTCGACGTATGTACGTTTAAATCCCTTTATCCTTTCGGTATACGTACATATCTTTGCTCTTTTTTAAATGTAATAAAACTCGTAAAACTTTCGGCACTTTCAAGTGTGGTGTGTGGCAGCAACCTCGTTGCGGTTGTGTCCTGCAATTAGTGGAAGTTTTATTGCATACTGTCGTGCCATGTGGCCCGTCCGGGAAATGCATTTCGATGTCCGACACAAGGAGGTCATTAACAAGTGCAGAGTTGGTCCGGGTGCGGTTTCCTTTTCTTTGGTTTCTCTGACCTCCAGGCGGCCACTGATGCATATACGACATATATATTGACAGGAAATCACACTGTTGCCTTAAGATGTAGATGGCCTGCAAAATAAGCCATGAGGAAAGATTTAAGATTAAATTTCTTCATGTGAATTGACTCAAATCAAATGTATCTACAAACACAAGCCTTTATTAAATAATTATAATCACATTGTCGGTGTATTTTAATACCTAAAATAAACCATTCATATTAAGACAAAGAAGATTGAAAATGCATAAAATATAAGATTGAGAAAATGTATGACTTTCTAATAAGAAATAACAATTGTAACACAGTGATATGATTTAAAGTAGATTTCATATCCGCCTGAAAATCAAGAGATTTTTTAAGGCGTATACGTAATATTTTCAAGAAGAAATACTACTTAAAAATTATTTGATTTTAATAGAAAATCAAATGTTCCCATTTAATTAATTACGTATTCCGTAGCCCTTTCACTTGCTTTCCCATGGTATTGGATTTTCCCCGATTGCCTGGCAACCAGCGCACTTATCTTTGATTGCGTGCAATTTACGCTCGGCCAATTGTTCATATTTTTGGTTTCGGGCGCGTGGCTTAGTTGCTGACCTTCCCCAGTGGCTTGCCTGGCCAGAGGCGCGGTTGATAAATGACCACCTCGAAGGGGGCCGCCGGAATCCGGCGAAAAACTACAGAGGGCGGTAAATCATGAATGCAGGCCACTGCTGATGCCTGCACTTCCTCATCTCCGCACCCGCCGACTGCTGTCAGATGGCATAAATCCGCACATTTTTCTGCCTCCGAATGGGGCTGCTAAACCGCTGGCTCCCCTGCTCAGTGGCCGAAAATCAATCGCGCTCGGCATTAATCAAAAACCCATTTATCAGCAAGTGTGCAGGCCTTTCTCTCGGAGGTTTATTAGCTGCTGGCTGGCCACGGTCGGTGATTAGTTGAGCGTTAACCCCGGGTCAGCACAGTTCCCTAGGAGGACCTCCAAAAAAAAAGAACGGAAAAATCGAAAAAAAGTGCAAGCGAGCCGAGCGAGAGTGCAAATTGCAATGAATATTTCACGCGAAAGGGGACTTGATGGGGATAAATTTCGCTGGCTTGTTGGACGAATTGGCGGCCCGGGCCGGTGCCATTAATAACGCCCAGCAGGTGACAACTGCCGGCTGTTCTATCGTCAAATCCATTAGTGTTCCACTTTGTCCAACTCAAATGGAAAAGGTGCCTGCACACCTCAATTTACCACAAACGCTGGGGTAACCCAGCTATCCACCCACTTCCAATTGATGTTCGGCACACAATGGGAATCCGGACATAATTAAAGGCCCAACCACGCCATATTCTTTATAAATAATATACGACCTGCATGTGAGGCCCTCTCGAAGAAATGACTAAGTTTGGAGCTGCCAGTGAGCTTCTGCCAGAATTCAAAGCCAGTTCCGGGTCAAGTGGATCAGCAGCTACTTGTGCATCGTCCTCGAGTGCAAATTGGATTACCCATCAAGCGCCAAAAGAGGGACAAGAGCCAATGCCTGAAGGGATGCTAACGCTCAGTGCGCGGGGACTTTTGGTATGTTGGTTCAGATTTGCTAGAAAACATATAAATTCCCCTTAACTCTCCACTTTGCGGTGATGTAACTTTGTCAAAAGTAATACAGTACTCTTTATTCCAACAAGGTCTTGCAAAAACGTACATAGAAATTCGAAAAGTGTGCCACAAAGTTTAACTTGCTTTGATCAAAAGCTATCCACCGTATTTTGTGCGGTTTTTGTATGAAAATAATATAAGCGGGATTAAAGCACGAATTTAAATGAAATGCTCTAAGATACACAGTAAAATTATATTTTTTCATAAACGGAAATGGATAAAAGAAGGTTATTTTTTTAGCCATACATTACAATTATATTTACAAAAAAAATTATAACAAACGAAAGCGTTTTTCTGAAAATGAAAATTTTTAATACAACCCAAAACCTTTTAGAATTTATAATGCAATATATTCTCAAATTCGAGCAGAGTGTAAGCTGTGTGTCCAAATATTTCACTAAACCCTCTGCGATGAAATGGAAACAATTTACATTGGCAATATGATAGAAAAGTTTAATGAACGTCAATATTGTATAGTATGGTGGATGTAGATAATTCTTTGGACTTTCTGCTTATGCTAAACGAAAATAGGAAATCGTGCTGCCTTGGGTCAAACGAACCTTGCTCCAGGCAGTGTGTCGACTAGTCGGCGTGAAGGTGCTGCATGCGCTTAGCGCGTCCCTTTCCGAGCTTTTTGGACCTCAGCTTGGCCATGTGCGACATGACCAAGTAGCTGCCGGGCAGGATCAGCAGTAAAAGGTATATTTTCAGAAAGAGAACCATGTCAAAGGTGATGTTCCATTGGTTGGGCATTTCCACGGTAAACCGTTTCGTCTCATCGATGTAGGGAATATTGCGTAGTACGATAATGCCCTCGCACAGGATGCCCATGGGGTAAAGTGGTATCCAGATAGTGTATCTCAGCCAAGTGAGCAGGCCCACTTCCCGTCCGAGCAATTGGGCCAAGTAGAAGGGATATCTAAAGGGGTAAAGTTCATTAGATAAGGTATTACTTCATGTTCCGATAAAGAGGCTAAACACTCACCGCACCAATTCGACCAAAGACCAGATTACGAAAACGTAGAACACCACGGGCTTGGCGTGCATGCGTGGCTCCATGTCGATCATAAGGAACAGAATAAAGTTTCGCCCTGAGACCTGAAAAAAAGGCACCATCGCACTGCCCTTGGTGTAGCCGAACATGGGGTGCATCACCTCCAGATATTGCAGCAGTTGTATAAACTTATATGCATTGCCCACATTGGCGTAGGTTTTGGCAATGCTATCAGGGCCATCGCGGTAGTATAGCACTCCCATAACGACCATGATGTATAGGTAGCCCACGAACATGGCCAGGTTGTAGAAAATCATGTACACCTTTTTGGTTTTCTCTGCAAGACGAAACAGGGTATAGGATTATTTTATAAATTATATAAGCCTTTCATTAAAATTTTCTTTAAATGATAAATATAAGTTTAATAGGTCTTCCTGTCTACAATCTTCCTATTGGTCTTTCGAATAAAAACTTCTTAGGCTCAACAATCATGAAATCTACATTTAATTTGGATAAAATCTTGAAATCTATTTTAAAAACTATTAAAATGATTTCAAATGATTTTGCAACGTGTTTTCTGACTGTAATCGTCTTTTGGTTTGGACAAAAATTTTGGGCCATGACAAAACTCAGCTGGTACCTTAAAAAGTCGAAACAAGCTTCCTAAAACTAATCTCTTAATAAACAAACGTTATAAAATGTATGCTAGAGCTTAAAATATCTGCGTCAAAAACATCTATTAAATTGTTATAGTTCTGTAAAACGCTTTTTGAACCTTTTCAAGCCTTTTTCCATAAAGAGTTAATTAGGAACACCGTTCTGAAAAGATTTTCCTCCTTAAACTGGCATTCTTTTAGTCAAACTGAAATAGATTCAGTTAGATTAAAAACTAGTTATTAGGCAATCTAACCCTTGATGTAGCCCAGCTCGCGCTTCTGGAGCTCGGCGTACTCCTTCTCGTAGTCCTGGCGCACATCGCGGGGCTTCTCCTCCACCTCGGCGTCGTCCTCGGTGCGCCAGCGGTCGAAGTCGACCTTCAGCCAGTGGGGCTTCTGGGGAGTGGCCACCAGACGGGGCCACCACTCCGGCTCCAGTTTCCGGATCTGCAGCTCTATCTTGTTGTCGCTGACCACGAAGGTTGCGTTCTCATCGTTGATCTTAGCGTAGAAGTGCAGCTCGAACTTGTAGGCATTCACGCCACGAGCTCCGTGGCCATTGGCACTGAAGTTCACCGAAACCGGCGAAAAGTCCGCGATAGCGCCCTGCGAAAATTTTCAGTTATCATTATTGATTTTTCACAGGGGTAGTCTGACCCATTGGAGTCCAAACCCACTTACCTTGGCATCCTTGAGGTCGACTTTCAGTAACAATGTCTGCTTGGTCTGCGACCAGTAGACCAGTGGGCTGAGGTTTGCCATTTCATTTAATCTTATCAAAAAAGTATAAACATCTCCAACCGAAAATAAATACGACCTATGGAGTGGCAGTTTCCAGCCCTGCGAAATATACTCTTAATACCATTTTTTATTATTCCAATATACGTAAAATTACGGTCACGCTAAAATGATGGGATGGTGTCATGGCTTAGTTAGCGAGGGCACCCTCCCAACAATATACTGGAATAATGCCGAAAATATACCGAAAATTTGGAAAACGGTGTCCTCGCTAACTTAGCCGTGTCACCCTCATAACGTTTTAACGAGACCGCTTGCGGCATAGCTCGCACACACACCTATCGACGGATATTAGGCCATTCCTAATTGCCAATTGGATTCCGTTGTGGCAAATAACGGTAATTGAAATTCAAAAATATCTTTTCGTTTGCCCAACCGATCCGATTTTTGGAGAAAGCTTTGTGTTTCTTTTTAAAGAAAATGACTGACAAAATTATGGGACGGATTCTGAAAATATACATGAAGTGACTGAGCAGTTCTCTTACAATATTTTAATTATTACCAAGTTTTACCAACTAGATCATTTTCTAATGATTATTTTTTGTGATTTACTTCTTAGTTATAAAACAATCGTTATTTTTTGAGTTTAATATAAATCTTAAAAAATAATGAAGTTGTTAAGATTTATTTTAAGCTTTAGAAATATTTGTTATTATATGAGTTTTATTTTCCGACAAATAACGCTTAGTCTTAAAGTGTTGTTTTTCCAGCCATCTGTTTTAAATTAAAAGCAATTGAAGTTCTAGTTTTATTTGTAATACAAAAAAAAAACTCAAGGAGTAAGTTTTATTTTTGAAATAAAAATAAAAAAGTAAGCGTTATTTGTCAGGCGGAAAACAAAGCTCAAAAATAATCACAATTTCTACAGCTAAAAAAAACAACAAATAATCAGTATTTTAGATTTATAAAAAAATCAAAAAATATCAAATATGCTTCGAGACTTAAATACAAATTTGGAAAAATAAAAATTAGACCGTTTAAGAAATGTACTGGAATAGTTAATCGTTTTACGATTGTTCTTTAACCATGATATTTTGCTTACAAAAATGAATTAATTAATTCCAACAAAAGGATTACATTTGATTACAAATTTAAAATTATTTCATTTAAATTAAAAACATTAAATTAACATGGAAAAAAAACGCCCGTATGTTTATTACTGTGCGTGGTTTCCCAAACTTTAAATTAAATGAAATACTTAAAAAAATGTTTGCAAATTACTATCATATAAAAATTTGTCTTAAATATCCACGTTGGAATTTGATGAGCTTTTGGTTGGCTATTCTTCTTTGGTGCGCTTTTTGGGTCAGTTTGATTTATGGGCCGCCACCGCAAAAGTCGGAAGTTGTCAGACAACAGGCAAAAACAAAGCAAAATAAACAAAAAAGGAAAACCCCTGAACAGTCGAGGACCTACGTTGGGTGTGTGTACTTCGGGGGATTTGGTTATATCCCTGTTGTACGGCCAGACATGGCCGCGTTGCTGTTGTCCTTTTAACTTCCTTCCTTTCCTTTTTTTTTGATGGGGGTGTCGTTGCTACAACAAGAGGCGACAACTTGTCAGGCTTGTTTTGCCGTCGGATTTTCTATTTACGAACAATAAACCCCAGTAACGGAGCCACAACAACGGTGATGGAGCATACGTGAGCTAGGGGCTTAGGAATCTGAATCGAAATTATATTTTCCAAATCTCTTTTGCAGCCATCGCCAGCACAAACCCATATCATTTTGCACACAGGCATAGGCACAGAATCGGGCGGCGCTAAAAATGCTGCGCTTTCTCAAGAACCGTTAGACCCGGCGACTGCCCAGGCACCTTTATTGAACCGCCCATCTATCAATCTATATGTATATGCTTAGCTGTATCTGTATCCGTATCTGTATCTTCGTGTCAAGGTAAGTCTACTTGTAAGCCATATAATTCTAGTATCGAAACATCGTTAGTGTTGCAAAGTTCTCAGGCACCCCGACGAAAACTACTTTAATTCTTTATTAATTGTACTATATTGATTTAGCCTCGAAAATTCCCTGCATTTGCATTATTAAGAATGCAATTTTGTGGTCTGCGAAAACGAACAACGACCCTTGATGGCACTGATCCGAAAATATCCCATGCTGTTTAATTATGCATGCTCGGCCTGTGTGGGAAGGTCAACCTTCTTAATAAACAGATGTTTCAGTTGGGCCATTCAGTCAGTCCATCGTGGCGTATACGTGCTGCGAACTCCCGCACTTAAGTGCGCCTAATCACCGCTAATGGCAACCCAAATGACATGTATAACTTGTATGTAATGAACGTATATCATGATAAATAGGAATGCGGCTGCTGACATTTGCCCGTTTGCCCCAACTTATTCAATTTTGTTTGTTGTCCATTTGCGCCCAAACAAAACGCAGCAATAGTTAAGGTCAAGCTAGACTAATGTCGAGTGATTGAACAGGACCCGAAGGACGTCAAGTTATGACTGAGTGTTTGTGGGCGGGAAAGGAGTCGGAATGGTAATCGGAATCGGAGTAGGGAGATCGACATGCGTGTTCGTATATGTTCAAATTAGGGATTCGACAAGGAGACAAGTCATAAACGAAGGCGACCACAAATACACTGCTAAAGTAGAAGGCATACTGCATATGTTTAAAGGCTGTTTTAGCCTTACTGATTATTTGATATTTAATAAATTAAAAAAAAACAAGGAAGAACGCTATAGTCGAGTACCTCGACTATCAGATACCCGTTACTCAAAGGGAAATGGAGATATGCAAGCAGCAAAGCGAGATTAAAATGCGCCACCTACCGGCGGTAGACAGATTTAAGCGTTATGGGCGTTAGAGTGGGCGTGGCAAATTTATTTTTGGATCAATCGATAGGTATTGACGACACCAATACATTTCAGTTAAAATTTTTTATCTGGCATGCAAATTGTGGGCGTCACAGGTTTTCGCGGTTTGTGGGCGTGGCAAACTTTTTTTTAGGTCAATCGATAGGTATTGATGAGAACAATACATTTCAGTTACAATTTTCTATCTAGCATCAAAACTGTAGGAGTTACAGTTTTGGGCGATTTGTGGGCGTTAGAGTGGGCGTGGCAGTCTACTGAAACAAACTTGCGCTGCGTAAGAAGCTTAGGAATCTGTACGCCAAATCTCAATAGCCTAGCTCTCATAGTTTCCGAGATCTCAGCGTTCATCCGGACAGACAGACGGACAGACGGACAGATGGGCAGACGGACATGGCTAGATCGACTCGGCTAGTGATCCTGATCAAGAATATATATACTTTATGGGGTCGGAATCGCTTCCTTCTGCCTGTTACATACTTTCCGACGAATCTAGTATACCCTTTTACTCTACGAGTAACGGGTATAAAAATTTTATCAATGTATTCTTTATACATTTAATATTCACAGCTTGAATGGTAATTTTGTTAATTATTTTCAACATAAAATTTAGGTTTATATTTTCATTGCCTACTTCTACGGGTAATAAAATTATACAAATAATTTGATTATAATTTTTGATAAATTTCCACTGACTCAACTACATGCCAACAAGTCTAGCTAGGTCCCGGGTGATTTGGTTTTTCGGAATCTTTGGCTTGATCGGCTGTTTGGTAATAAGCACTTCGGTGGTGGCCAAGAGTGAGGCAATTCCGGCGGCATCCGCCATGGCGGCTTTTAAAACATTCGCGGGATCAACAATTCCCCGGGCCACCAGATCGCCGAACTCCCCGGTGGCGGCATCGAATCCAAAGTTCCCGCTTCCATCGAGGACTCGACGGAGAACCTCATTGGGATTCACTCCAGCATTGTGCGCGATTGTATAGCAGGGAAGCCGAAGTGCATCCTTTACAATTTCTCTGCCCAACTGGTGCTCCATAGCCCGGGCTGGCGGCAACCTATCCAGAGCTGGAATACACCGCAGAAAGGCTGTGCCGCCTCCGGGAACAACGCCATCGCTGATAGCCACACGGACTGCGTGCAGGGCATCATTGAAGCGATCCTTCCGCTCGCTCAACTCCAGGTCACTGGTCCCGCCCACATAAATGGTGGCCAGGCGGCCCTGCAGTCGTCCTAGTCGTGTATTAAGCCGGTCCAATTCCTCCTCGGTGACAGCCTCATCGATCAACTCACGGATGTGCTGAATTCGGGACTGCACCTGCTCCTCGTTAACCTTGATCGGTTGCAAAAGGTGCGTTTCCTTGGCATTCACCACAGCAGCCACCACCTCACCCAGGTCCTCCTCACTGAGATCCGCCAGCCAAGAGGCATCCTCCAGTAAATGGGCACCCATGGCCAGAGCCAGATCCTGCATTTCCAGGCGCTGCTCGTCGCCAAAGCCAGGCGCCTTGACTGCACAGACCTGAACTATTCCCTGAAGGTGATTCAACACCAGAATCTTTAGCAAATCGCTGGAAAAATCTTTGGCTATAATCAGAAGGGGTTGTTCCCTCAGCCGAGCCAACTCCAAAGCGGGCAGGATCTGTTCAACCTGATCAATCTTGGCCAGGGTGAGCAGGAGCAAGCAATTGCCTAGTTCCAGGCGGCTGTCCTTGCCACTTTTAGCGGCAATGAAGGGTGAGCAGTAACCACAGGGCAGGGTAATGCCTTCCTGAAACTTAACCTCATCGTTGGGACCATGGGACTCCCTGACCAAGATGACACCATTTTCTCCCAGTTCCAGTATGGTGTCGCCAATCAGCTCCGCCAGTCGTTCCTCTCCATTGAGGGCCACCTTGGCCACGGCTTCCACTTGACCTATTGTATCCACCGATTGGGACATCTCGCACAGAGCTTCACAAACCGTTCGCGCTCCCTCGAGAATACCTTCTCGCAGGAGCTGAACGTTCACCTGACCCTGGCGGAGCACATGCATCCCCTGGCAGGCCATTCCACGGGCCAGGATCGTGGCCGTGCTGGTGCCATCGCCCACATCGTTATTCGTATTGTTGGTGGCCTGGCGGAGTAGCTGGGCACCCATATCCAGACGACGATCCTTCAGCTGCACATTGCTGGCCACCGTGATGCCATCCTTGGTGATCCGCGGCGATATCAGCAGCTGCTCGATGAGCACGTTCCTGCCCTTCGGGCCCAGAGTGGCGGCCACCGCGTTGGCCAGGATGTTCACGCCCTGCAGGAGCAGGCTGCGCGCCTCGACGCCGAAGCGAACGTCCTTGGCGAAGAAGCGCACGCTAATGCCACCACTCCGGCCCAATATGTTCAGCATCCCGATCCTCTTCCTGGGTCCTTACGTAGTTTTGTCCTTAATTTTGAGGGAGTTTATTTTCGAAATTTGTATGGCTGGGTGAATTTATAATTTTAGTACCCTTCGATCGGTAAGCTAAGGGAAATGCCAAACATAGAAAGTTTTGAAATGCTTCTAGGTTTCATCTATCAAAATTTTAATTTTGATAGGAAAGAATTTGAATTATTTACACGATTAAAAATTAAAAATTAAATTAAAAAGAAAAATAATTATAAAAAGCTATAATTTTAAAAAAGTAAAGTATTGTAAAAGAACGAAGGTTTTATTTCATTGCATATTATAGAACCCTTTCCTGTCTAACTTTTTAATTTATTAATATAAATTATTAAAAAATGTTGGTCAATTTAAAATTGGACTATGTAATGTCTTTATTGTTGTTTAAATAATTTTCTTTATTACTAAATTCGTAGAGTATTGGAAAGTCGCTTCGGTAGGGCGCCACTTTATTATGTTCCAACTTGTTTTCCGTTTCGTCATTTTATTTTAACAACAAATATTACATTTGCGCCATGTTTCCTGCTTGTTTTTCGGCTTTCGCTTATTAAATGTGGCGTGCACGTGTTGGTAAACTAACGCACACTGACGAACGGCACTCACACACACTTACGCTCACAGACGCAGACAGTCGACGGTCGCCACACCAACACACAGACACACTCGGCAGACAATGTGATTCCGCCATTAATATTAACGTTAAAGGAGCAACAACAAAACGCTCATCAAACATGCGGCGTTTAGTACGTAAACACACACACACACACACACGGGGACTCACAAAAAGGACAAATGGCTGCTTGAGTGTGTGTTAGTGAGAGCGCTGTCGGCCATTTCCTTTCGTCTTTTGCCTCTTTCCGGTGCGTTGAAAGTTTCGCTTTTCGTTCGCTGCTTGTTTTTCTTTTTCTTTTTTTTGTGTCTTTCAGTTGGCGTCGAGCATTTCCTTAAGGCAAACGCGGCTTTGATTTGCCCTCCGCGAGTTTTTTCAATTTCCTGGAAATTTAGAAATATGTTTCGAAAATATCCTTGCAAAGGTGTCTAAAAGTATGCAACAGTGTATTTGGAAACAGGAAGTTAGGGGTGTTCCTTGCCACTTTAATTTTTGTTGCATACTTTAAGTGATTTTAAGGCACTGTGGCACTTTTTCCGAATAAACGAGTGTTTGTGAGTGTTTTGACTGTGGATTAGTGACAATTGATCTGTAATCATGGCTCTGGTGGCCCATCGGATGATGTTGCCCGCGCGGCATCGACGCAACACCACCCAGCAAGTGGCCCGCAACAAGGTGGGCGTCCTCCTGGTTCCAAGTGTGGCGGATTATTACGCCGGCGAGATGCCACCGCCTTTGGCCACGCCCACGCCCTCGCCGGCCGCCTCCCAGTTGCACCTGCCACAGGATCCAGCGGAAACAACCGCCGATGGCAGCAACGCAAAAGTGAGTGCAACAAGTCGGTGCAATGGCCCAAATGCAGTTGGCTTTGCTTGCGAAAGCAAAAATGAAGGAATTTCCTGATGGGATTTCCCCCAAAAATCAGCTCCGCTTTCTTGTTTTTCCATTACACTCGTTTATTGTTTTTGTGTCTTTTTCTGGGCTTCGACTGGCGCCAACTTTATGCCGCTCAATGAGTGCTATGTGAGGCATAGTTTTGTTGTTCCTGGTCATGGTCGAGATTAGAAAACTCGGCTCTCCATCAAGTATTCGACACGTGGCCTTTCAAGTGCTGGTAGTCGGAAATGCCAAGGCTGCTAAGTCAAAACCTGACTAATTCAAGTAAACTTTTGAAAAATGCAATACAACTGCTTAACATAAATTAATACTTATTGAGTGTTATTACAATTGTTTTGACCAAAGACAGACTTTTACGGCTCAAAAAATAACTGATTTCATATAAAATGTCTTATTCTACCCTATAAAACAATAAGAAAAAGATTAAAATATGTTTAATTGATTTATTTGTAAAATATATGCAAGCAATATAAAAGAAAATATGACTTAGTTTTTTCACCAAATAATTTTTTGACTGTATTTATAAATTTAATGCAAGCAGTTAAATGGAATCAAATGAGTCGCCTTTTTCCTATTATGTTAAATGGTCTGTAAATTAACTTATAAAAATGATTTTCAAAATTAGTAACAATATCAACCATAAATGTTGGTATGTTCAAAAGTACGTTCCATGATTAAGGGGTGTCCAATTTTATTTATTTATATGCGTCCCAGTAAACCAATTAAGGCAAATTGTAACTGATTGGATTTTCGGCATTTCATTAAAAGCGCGCAAGTGCGTGACGATTGTTTATCACGCCTTTTTACTCGTCCGATGGCCACAAATGGAATTTTTAATCCCCACCGGCATTGACGGAGGCTATAATTGAAAAGGTGTTTTTTTTGTGGCTTGGGGCTGGCTTTGTTTTGGTTCACGGAGGCAATGGCACCTTTCATTATTCTGATATTACAATGCGTGACGAACTTGTCGCCGGTCACCACTGAGCAGGAGTCCATAATTTATTTAACTCAAAGGTTGTTTTCGGGGGTGGCGGGACTGACACCGGTTACATTAATCAATAAATTCTGTTCTAATGCATGCCCTTGACATGGTATAAATAGTTGGGTCCTGCTTAAATTAGCAAAGTTTGTTTGTTATTAAGCCGGTAAAAAAAAATAGGGGTTGGTAAATTTGGTTTTGATTTTTATATTAAGAGATTACATTTTAACGGACTGGGACGAACATATTATTGAAGAATTTAAATCCTGCAACGTGAAACCAGTTCTTTGGATGGCTAACTTACCACTTTTTTACCAAAACAAACTTAAGGCTCTTAAAAAATTTGTTCCGTTTTTCCTGATCCTTTTAATTTATAAATAAAAACTTCAGAAACAGGGCCTATCCCAACAAAACTGACCCAAAATAAAACTCACCACAATGGAGACAGAGACAAGAACCTAGAAAAGCTTTTTTCCTGACAGGTTTTAAAAGCCTCGAGCAGCAACCTACGTCAACAGCTTTATGAAAGCCCTAATCATCGGACTTTCACAAACTTTGAGCTGCCTTTTCATAGTTTCCTACCCCAATAATAGAACCTTGAGTTTTCCGTAGCCCTCCGAAGCTATTCGCTTGGAAACAGCTCGCACTGGCCAACTTGTTGATACTTTGAAAAAATGCTCCATTTTTATACCCGTTACTCGTAGAGTAAAAGGGTATACTAGATTCGTCGGAAAGTATGTAACAGGCAGAAGGAAGCGTTTCCGACCCCATAAAGTATATATATTCTTGATCAGGATCACTAGCCGAGTCGATCTAGCCATGTCCGTCTGTCCGTCTGTCCGTCTGTCCGTCTGTCCGTCTGTCCGTATGAACGCTGAGATCTCGGAAACTATGAGAGTTACAATACTGGGATTAGGCACGCAGATTCCTGAGATTCCTGCGCAGCGCAAGTTTGTTTCAGTAGAGTGCCACGCCCACTCTAACGCCCACAAACCGCCCAAAACTGTGGCTCCTACAGTTTTGATGCTAGATAGAAAATTTTAACTGAAATGTAATGTTCTCATCAATACCTATCGATTGACCCAAAAAAAAAAAAAATTTGCCACGCCCACTTTAACGCCCACAAACCGCAAAACCCTGTGACGCCCACAATTTTCATGCTAGATAAAAAATTTTAACTGAAATGTATTGGTCTCGTCAATACCTATCGATTGATCCAAAAAAAATTTGCCACGCCCACTTTAACGCCCACAAACCGCAAAACCCTGTGACGCCCACAATTTTCATGCTAGATAAAAAATTTTAACTGAAATGTATTGGTCTCGTCAATACCTATCGATTGATCCAAAAAAAAATTTGCCACGCCCACTCTAACGCCCATAACGCTTAAATCTGTATACCGCCGGTAGGTGGCGCATTTTAATCTCGCTTTGCTGCTTGCATATCTCCATTTAGCTGAGTAACGGGTATCTGATAGTCGAGGTACTCGACTATAGCGTTCTCCCTTGTTTTATTTATGTTATATGTTTACAGCGGTTGGGCCTTTGTCATTTGTTGACATTAACTGAGAAGTATATTCAACAATCTTTATCCCATAAAGTAATAGAAGTTAGCTCGCAGTTCAGTTAGTGGTGGGCAATCAGCCGAGTTGTCGAGATTTTTGCTCCAATACTAGTCATCTAAGCTGGCTTCTTATTCATGTAAGGATCTCGAGCCAGCTGCCTTTGTGGAAATCCGCAATGGCAGTAGACTCCAGATGGAGCACCATGGATCAGAAAAGACCTCTGGAGGACGGGAGAATGAGATCATCAGACAGGCTGAAATGGAGCACGAGATAGTTAGGAAGCAGCGATTCCTAGATATCTCAAAAAAAATCGAAGCCCAAACTGCATTTAAATGTAATACAAAGTCTGACAGTTAACTGAGCAACCTTTGATATATTTGTCAAAACAATAAATGGCATTCCATTGTTCGGTTACTGTCGTTTCGTTTTTGATTATTTGAGTTTTCAACAAAAATGTTTTCTACCTACTCGATCAATGATGTGGCTGCGTATGAGGAGGTAGATGGTACTCACCAGGAGTTTTCTTATAAACTTACCTCCGAGCAGCGTGTTGAATGGGAAATACAATCGATCATCCGCTTGGCACACCAGGAGCATGAGGCCCACACCCAAAAACAAGTGATGGGCGCGATGAAGAAACGCGAGGAGGAGGACTTGGCCGAACTCAGATATATTAACCCATTTCCCAAAAGTCTTACCAGGATGACCCCATGCCACGATGAGGAGTTAAGAGTTCTGCTGGACGAAATCGCTTCGATGAAGGAGAGTAGCGATGAATATGACGACGATTTGTAATACCGCTCTTTCTATTAAATACTGAAGTGGTCAAAATCTATAAAATCTATTAAGTTACATAGGGGTATTTTGGGTAAATTAATTTAAATATGGTAGAAAAAAAATTACTTTTAGATTAGTGTAGGATAGGTTAGGTTAAATAAGTCACTTAGCATATTATTTACAGGTACTTAGAGTAATCGACGATACATGTAAAATTATTTAAGACCTGACGGAATAGAAGGCACAATCCTGCTAAATCCACAAAAGCTGTGGGTTTAAA